CAGCTACTTGGAAGGCTGAGGCAGAAGGATCGCTGGAGCCCAGCAGGTCGAGGCTGCAGTGGCCGGGAGCGGCCATGCACTCCAGTCCGGGCAACAGAGTGAGACTCCAACTAAAAAAAAAACCCAAAAAAACAACAAAAAAAAGAAATTATCTTTGAATTGCATTTAGTCAAAATTTTATCCATGATACTACCTCAGGTTCTGTCATGTTCTGAAATTGTGAATTTGTAGTCACATTGACCCTCAGGCCACAAAAGATCCTTGGCATCGTCTTGGACTTGTGATCTCAGCATTAAGATTGCACACAAAAGAGGTTTATTGATGAAAGACTTCTGTGATGGGAAAATTGTCTTTTGTTTTTGTTTTTTTTGAGTTGGAGTCTCACTCTGTCGCCCAGACTGGAGTGCAGTGGCCACTCCTGGCCACCGCAGCCTTGACCTGCTGGGCTCCGGCGATCCTTCTGCCTCAGCCTTCCGAGTAGCCGGATTACAGGCACGCGCTACCACGCCCGGCTGATTTTTTGATTTATTGTAGAGATGAGGTCTCGCTGCCCAGGCGGGTCTTGAACCTGCGGGCTCAGGCAGTCCACTCACCTCAGCCTCCCAAAGGTGCGGAATTATAGACTGAGCCACCGAGCCTGGCTCGGATGGTACATTTTATAAAATTTCTAATATAGAATGAAGGAAAACGAAGCCCTTTTTTGTTTAGAAATCTTGATTTTTGTTTTTTCTTCCTGCCCAGACTTCTGTCTCGCCTTTTACATGGTTGGCATATAGGAATGTCATCTCAGGGTATTAGTGTGTTTAATACAGTATGTACAGATTACAAGAGCAAGAGACTTGTTTTGGATTTAGAGCAGTGTTTGACTATTTATCCAGAACTTGGTTTGGAAAGGACTGCCATATAAAATGTGTGTGAAGAATAATGAAAGATTTCTTTTACATTGCCACAATCTTCCCATAATAGTAGAATGATAGCAGAGCAGAAGAATATTTCAGAATACTTCCCAAATGCTATGCAATAGAAACTGATGTGAAAAATATTGTGCCATAATTAACTCTGTAGGAAAAGTATCACCCTATGCTTACTTCCCAGTCAGCATGCTTATTAATTTCCTTATTAATTTGAATGAACCAATATTAGACTAGGATACCTCTTAAAATCATGTATTAGCATACCTAAATAATTTGGGGGTTATTATCATTTCTTTATGTCACTAATGTGATTTATAAAATAAAGTATTTTTTAATTATTATAAGGTCATGTCAGTATACCCATATGCATATTGACTTTTAAATGCACTGTGTGCAGTAAGAATAATGGCTCTTGAAGAAGTGTTTTGTGTTTCGTTTCAGCTGAGCAGTCCTGAGAGTAGCTTGACACCACCCCTCTCAGCCAGCCTGCATCTGGAGAGTGAGTTGGATGCATTAGCAAGCCTGGAAAACCATGTGAAAACGGAACCCACAGATATGAGTGAAAGCTGCAAGCAGTCAGGGCTCAGCAGTCTTGTGAATGGAAAGTCCCCAATCCGAAGCCTCATGCACAGGTCGGCAAGGATTGGAGGAGATGGCAGCAGCAAAGATGACGACCCAAATGAAGACTGGTGTGCTGTCTGCCAAAATGGAGGGGATCTCTTGTGCTGTGAGAAATGTCCAAAGGTCTTTCATCTAACTTGTCATGTTCCAACACTTCTTAGCTTTCCAAGGTACCAGTGAAATCATTGACTTTTTTTGTTTTGCGTTATTGTTGATTTTCATAAGTTAAAAAAACAAACAGCAGAAAGTTGTTTGGGGCAGATGATGTCCTAACCAGCATGTAGCATTTCTGTAAAACAAGGAGTCTGTTATTCCTTTGATATTACAGAGAAACTAACAACAGGAAGCTCATAATGCAGGTTTAATATCTAAGATCTACGTGGTACATTAATGGTAAAGAGTAGATTTTATAGCCGGGCTCGGTGGCTCAGCCTGTCATCCCGCGCCTTTGGGAGGCTGAGGTGAGGGATTGCCTGAGCCCGTGGGTTCAAGACCCGCCTGGGCAGCGAGACCTCATCTCTACAA